GTTCCTTCCTTCTTCTTTCCAAAGCTCTTTTTATCATTCGGAGTAGAGGAATTGGAGGTAGTATGCTTGTGCAATTCTTCCGCTTTTCAGACCTTGCTCTACTCTTTCTCCTATAATTACCACATCCGCAAAGAGTGTTGATGTGTTCCCTATCATTTTGTCGTAATAGGGACCAGTCAAAGAATTGATGAACATGGATGTGGTTTCCTTGTCTGATAGAGGAGGTTCCACTTGTGCCTGCTAATTCCCTCCATCTTTGGGCATATGCTTTGAAGGATTCGTCGTTTTTCTTGCTTAATAATTGTAGATCTGCTCTTTCAGGGGTCAGGTCAATGTTGTATTTATAACGACGAAGAAATGCATCTGCCATATGTCTCCAGGTTTGGATTTGCCCTCCTTCTAGTTGCATATACCAGTTTAAGGTCGATTCAGCCAGGCTCTCCTGAAAGCAGTGGATCAGGAGTTTTTCATTATCAGGCATGTGCGACCATCTTACGACAGTACATTGTAAGGTGGCTTCTCGGCAGGTCGATCCCATGTATTTCTGGAAGTCCGGAGTTTTGAACTTGTTAGGGAATTGGATATTTTTGACGAGGCACATATCAGCTGCCTCTTTTATATCAAAGTTATGACCTTCCATGGCTCTCAGCCTTTCTTCAAGAGCAGTGATTTGTTGTTTTGATATTTCAGGAGCATGAATATGTACTGCTCTTGTGTCAGAATGATCGTGCTCACTTTGAGGTTCCTCTTCTTCTTCTTGGTGAGAGGCTTGTCCATTCTGAAGATCCTCTCGATGAAGATTCTGTTGATGCATCATTTCTAGCATTTGAGCCATTTGCTCTTTCAGCGTAGTAAGCTCGACGTGAGCTTTCGGCTTTGCTCTTCTAGTTGTTCCATCTTCTTAGCTTTTTGAGCACGAGTGAGGACGGCGCGGAAGACCAGCCACCTTCTAAATGATTTTAATGATTCTTATTATGACTTTTATTTTAAATGATTGGCGTGGAATAAATACGCCCTAGGATGAATGTGTTTATGTATGAGAGGTTTTATTATGATGATGTTTATGCATACTTTTCTTAATGCATTGGTTTTCTCTCTTGGTTTTACCACTTATTGAATGATATGGTATGAATGATACGACTTTGCCAAAAATCTTTTGTAAAAAGGTATTTTTATGACCTTAATGTTTTTATATTTTTTTATGATTTTTAGGGTTTTTCACTTTTTTATGATTTTTAGGGTTTTTCACTTTTTTATGATTTTTGTGGTATGATTACCCTATGCTAATGCATCAATACAAATGCAGCAAACTTATGCACACACAATTCATACATCCACGAGCAGAGCCACGCTTATTTAATCACGAGGTAGGATTTTCCTGCAGAAACGTGCTTGGTTTAGGTGGTTCTAACTGTTCTCACCAGGCCAAAGGTCCCCAAGGTGCCCCCATTATAGGGACCTCTCAATCTCTCAATCCTCGGGTCATGCACGGAACTCCGTGGCGACACCCTTAGACCAAAAGAAGAGAGTTATCACCTTGAGTTGGTGGTTTTCCGACAACGGCAGTAGCCCCGTGTGCCAACTAACCGATCGTATCTGCCACCCACTCCCTATAGATATTCACTCTTGCCCCCGGGTATAGAGGGACTGTTGTGTGCAAGGGTTTTTGTGTGCAATTTATATTTCAAACAATTGCAGAAATAATCATACAGCAGTTATTAAAGCCATACAATAAAAACATACAGAAGGGTAAAGGCGTAATTTCAAATCTTTACTTAGTTTGAATTTATCTGTCACTAAATGGGATCAACTCTCTAGCTTCCCCAGTGGAGTCGCCATCTGTCGCCGCCGTCCCTTTCGACGTCCTGGGGGACGTCTCGAAACGTTTATGCGAGCGGTCGCGAAAAGATGGTTTGGACTCGCGTATTTATTTTAAAAGGTTTTCGAAAAGGGGTTCTTATGGAGTCGCCACCAATGTTTTAACCTTAAACATTGGAAAAGGAAAAAATGTTGATTTTAAGAAAAACCGCACTTGGCCGTTATAACCAGAGTTGGGTAAGGGAGTTAGTTACGTGTGGGGAAGGTGTTAGCACCCCACAACGCCCCTTTCGGGTTCCCTATGACAGATTAATTCATTTAAATAAAGACTACGAGAAATTACGCGATTACCCTATTTTATTACATAATATTAAATGGCTATCTACATGATTTTATTCTATGTTGCATGTATAAAATGATGAATAAAGCTAGATAAAGCAATAAAAGAGATATTAAAATAGCTATCTACATGATCCTATTCTACATGACATAATAAAGCTAAATAAAACAATAAAACAATAAATAAAACAATAAAAGAGAAGGGAATTGAAAAGAACCTCCGTAGCAAGCTTTATATTGAGAACCTCGAACCGTGAGGATGCGTTTTGGCAACCCTCTCTCTACACAGCTCTCCTCACCAATACAAGATCGACTATACTAAAAATTTAAAGAAGAATCAAATGCCGGAATATAATTCCTTAACCGATTGTTACCTATTTAAGGCAATCGGAAAGATCATTCGAGAGAGAGAGAGAAGTAGACAAGTGCTCTGAGTTTTAGAAAGTGTTTCAGAGCTCTCTGGAGTGTCTCTGGTCTGAAAAAGTGGCAAATGAGCCTCCTATTTATAGTTTTTCGCAGCTGGCGCACTTTGGGACGGCCGTCCGGGTTGGGACGGCCGTCCGGACTGGGATGGCCGTCCCAAATGGCAAATTTACACGAGCGGGACCCCCAGGAAGGCGGGACGGCCGTCCCACTTAAAATGGGTTTGGGACGGCCGTCCCAACTTTGGGACGCGCGTCCCAACCGGATTTAAGAGGTTGGGACGGTCGTCTCAACCTGTTCTGGCCAGTTTCGCGCGTTTCGGGACTCCGGGAAGCTTTCCTTGCCTGTTTTGGACGTCAGTTGATGCCGATATGTGTCTATTGAAGCTTTATCTTCATATGGGAAGTCTCCTTGGCTCTTATTTGTAATGCTAGACGAGCTTTATCTTGTTACGGGTAATCTCCTTTATCTTTATTTGAGAGGCCGGGCAAAATTAGGGGTCTACATTCCTTCATATTTTCTGTTTCCTGATGTGTGATGGAAGTACTTGAAGATTGTTTCTTTGCTTTTCCTTGCTTCTTCTTGTTTTTTCCTCTATTCCTTCGAGTTGTCTCTTTTATCTCCGGGTCAAATGCTAATTGATCTTTAGAAACCTGATCCCGTAATGACATAGATCAAAACAGCTCTAGCAAAGATTAGTACAAAAGAGAAAACTAAATAAACTATCTAATTAAGAAAAATATTCACAAATCTGGATGAGATAACCAAGAATTTCAAAAAGAACGCTGTAAATCGGCAACAGCGCCAAAAATACTTGTTGTGCTTTTGGAAAGCGTACCAATAGTCAATTATAGTATAATGATTTTTAAGTGAAAGTGTTGATCCCACAATGAACGAGTTCAACTTAAATTAAATAATTTATCTCAAACAACATATATACAAGGATATCTATTTGATTCATGATTGATAGTAATGATTTATACTAAATTTGCATGAAAATAATATAATGGCAGTAGATTGATTAGAAAATATTAAAAGAAAGAAATCGGAATTAAATTTCATCTATCTCACTCTTCTGTAATCTGGATGAATATAAAACATATAGCATCTTAATTTACCAATATTGATGCAACACACAATAATCATTTATATTGCTTCCTCACGTATAAAATTCATAAGACCGATTCCCTAGATATTGATTCCTCACATATCCAACAAACTGTCCAACATTCTTTTCAAGTGTCAAAAGCAATTGATATATTGAAATCTATTTCTAGCATCACAATACATCAAGTATTTTTGCTTATATCAGATTTTCAAAAATACTTTCCAGTCAAGTCTAAAAATCACATTCACATCAGATAGAATCAATCATTAAACAAAAATGCCAATGTTGAATAGAGATAGAAATGCTATAGGGTAAGGAACTTTGGATGAACTAATGCGAATGGGTGTAAGCCTCGCTGCTCGGAAACACCCAGTGCTGACCACACTGAGAGACACGAAAGCGCAGGTAACGCCAGTTGGCGAAGTGGCGTTAAGCATCCCTAGCGGTACGAAAAGAGAGGTCGTGATGATATCATCTACGTCCGTACCGCTCCTCGTGGAGTAGATCCCGCATCCAACCAAGTCTTTGACCAGGGAACGGGAGAATTCCCACTACCGCTGGAAGGCCAGCCGGGCCGTGAGCGCGGTGGGAACGGGCTTCCCAAAAAGCCAGCCCCGGGCCGGGGTCGGCATAGAATGAAGGGGACGGCCCTAATGTTGTTGTGTTGGCAAAGCCAACTTCTTGGGTTGCGGGCGGAGAAGAGCGGACGTGGGGACTCAGACCGGGGCGCAGCGTAACTAAGAGAGCCATTCCATTCCATTTAGGGCGAGACAGAAGACAGGACGCACTCTTGACGTAGATAGAAGGCATTTCTCTACTCTAGAAAAAAAAGTCTATCTCTATCGAAAGAGTGAACCGCTAACTGTGTGGTAAATGGAGTAGGAGAGCCTTCCTAGGATCTGTTTTCATTGTGGCAATTGGGGCCTGGTAGACTATTGCAGACCTTGTTCGTCAGTATGAGCTTATGCTTAACCTGCACGACATGAAAGAGCAACCTGGACAGTCTATTCTCAACTTATATTCTTGGTTGTCCTATGTATGTATGTTTTTTGGAGATTATTCCGCTCATGCTAAGAAGTTTCTTGACTCTCGCTCTCACTGATGATTTTGAGCCTGCTCGAGCCTATTTACTTTACTCCATCGCAGCCCCTTGCCTACACTGTATAGTGCTGTTGCAGAACTAATCTCTTCAGAGACTTAACTTGGAACTATGAAATGACAATGAACTTCATTAGTGAGGGCTACTTCTTCTATTATACCTTATTCATTCTTTCTGGCTCATCGAATTCCTGTTACTGAAAGAAGCCCGGGAATGGAATTCGAGACTGTCTCACTCGGCCTCCTCGCAAGAACACACCTAAAGGTAGTCAAACCCAGTCTCAACCTCAAACTCATTCCAAGGCTGCTGCTACTAATGAGGATTCTTCTTCTTCTGAGCCTTAGTTAAAAGCCCTTCTCGTCATAAGCTGCTCCTTCTCTAAGACATTTTGCATTTGTCCATCTCTAGCCTTTGAAAGCTGTCCTAATCCTCTTGTCAAGCTGGGCCAGGCTAGCTCTCTTATTCTGGATTGGCCATTATTAGATTAGAATACCGGTACAAGCCGTTAGGAGAGGCAGATCAGTAAAAGTCTCTTGCTATAAAGTCACTGCTACCTTATTCAGTCTATCCCGGCAGTGCCTGAATGGGAGTCTAGGCTAGCCAGTGCATCAAACTTTTGACTGAAAGAACTACTTTTCCAGCTAGATCGGACTAATTGTTTTTATTACCATAATGATAGCACTCAGCGGTTCGGGAACTCTGCCTATCTCAATCCCGGGATGAGAGAAGTTCAACAGGCAAGGCCGGCTTTGCTTCATATGTAGCGGATCGGTATTCTGCTATTCTCTCTCGCTTGATACCGGACATAGAACCCTATCTCGATCAACCCAACTGTCTAACCTTTCTTTCACATCACAGCTATCCACTCTCCTTTCTTTTTTTGTTTTTGAAAGTCAATCTTTTTTCGACGCTGGGCTTTAGTCATCCTAGTTCTCTACTGTCAATCCCCAAACGAAACGGCTTGAAGCATCTGGTATTGGTTCATCTACCTTGATCTGCCTTCCGAGTGACATGGAAGACTGCCCCTTTCAAACTTCTTAGCTCAGAAAGATTGGAAGATGAAAGCTATCTCATTCAACATCGGACTTGTTGCTGTATTGATTCCCACTTGTTGAAGCTCTATCTGGTACTCCCTTGCGCTAGAAGCTCTTGCTAGATTATCCGACATTGACTCGCTATAAGAAGATTGTCCGAATAGCATAATTATTATATATGTGAAAATAGTGATTGATAAGGGCTATCAGATAGCAATGAGTGGACTGGCAACCTGTACTTCTTTCTTTGACAGGCATTGCTGGTCCTAGGTCTGGTTGGGTAAAAAAGCTGGGGCATAGCTTCTATTGCTGGCTTGTCTGCCCTGTCTCACTTATAATTGAGGACTTTTGCAGCGATATGTCGATCAAAAAGTCACTCCATTTTGACATGCCTATCTTTGAAAAACGAGTGGAGAGCTTTTCCCCTATACGGAGATAGACTATCCTGATTAGATTAGGAATTTCCGTAACCGGTAGATTGGATTTCCGGTGGAAGTCAACAAGGACAGATTCCTGTTGGCTAATCGAATGGAAATCCCATCTCATTTCTGATTTGACTGCCTAGACTGAGCAAGCAATATCTTTGCTGTCTCCTAGTGGAATTAGCAGACTCCGACATGAACTCTGAAACTCTGATTGCTGTTTGAAAGAGTTGACATAGATTGCTATGCTAATCCGTTCTCTGATCAAGACCAAAAAAAAGGAATTGAGATCAGTCTGTCAATAGCATCAATGAGAGAAGAAAGGACACTCTCCATCATGCAATGAGAGAAGAGAGATGTACTGAAAGCATGATCTCTCTTACTTCTCCAATAGAGAAGGATAACCAAATCCTTCTCTATTGTTTCACTGCAGATAGCATCCAAAACTCAGAAATGTAACAAAAGTCAGATGCGGAACACATGCAAGATTGCACTAGTCACAGAGAGAAGACAGCCAATCCAATAGAGCAAGCAACCAGTCACAGCAAGGAAAGCAAAGAGAGAAGCTAGTCACAGGTAAACATGCACTGTCTCTAAGCTCGATTGACTGGCCTAGTTTCACTCGGAGATAGAGACCAGTTACCGAGCCAGTCAGATGCTTGCCTGGCCTTGTCTAACTCCCCAGTTTCACAAGCAAGCCAGGCAGATCACCTTGTTCAAGGATTTCAGAGCGAGTACTTCCAACAAAACGTCTGCCTAGACAGAGCTTCCAACCACTTGGACCCGATGATACACCTGCATGCAGGTCATCCTCTGTGAATCGGCAAGACAGGGAGAGAAAGACATGCCGGACTCACAAGAGAAAGACAGCCAATGCAGTCAGTCAGAGAGAGTTGGGAATTCTGCTAACTGAATTCGGAAGACTTGCTAGTCTAAGAGAGATTGGACTCATGCTTCCGGGAATCTCAGTAGTATACCAGGAATGCCCTATTGAGCGTCATGCCTGAACTCATGTTCCGGAGAGTGCCTGTCGGATCACTTATGCCTATGCAAGGAGAGAGCACCGCTAAGGGAAAGTTCAATCATTGGGAAGGTCAGACACAAGAAACCCGAACTGCCTGAAAGGTAACTAGCTTGTCGTCTTCTTTCCTCAACCAGTGACAGGCCTCACTATCTACTCTACTGGATTTGGTCTACCGGGCAGCTAGATCGGACTGGTAGCATGCTGAGAGTCCTGTGAGGAAGGTCTTCCAAGAGAATGGATGTACCGATTCGAGATGTGACAGCGGGTCAGTCAAGAAAGCTGCCAGTTCTATTCTACGAGCTGCTTCCAAAGGTGAGAAAGCCTGTTTCTCTGAGCTAAGACACATGCCCGGAAAAGAAAAGAATCCGGGGTCTATGATGTCGAACCGACATCCCTGTTTGGAATAGGATTTTTTTGAAAGGGACCGGCTAACCACTCGCTCTCTCAGTCGAGCAAACCTTTCGCTTTCCTTTTACTTGCGGATACTTCCTTGCGAATAAATAAGGACGGACTATAGTGCTACTGCTAGAGGGGACTCTGTTAGGCTTGCTAATTCGATCCTTGTCCGATACGGCAGCTGCTGGGTCTCCCCATCTCTCCTAAACTTCCCCCGGTCTTCGGCCCGAGCTGTATGAGGCAGAAACTCGCCCCACGTACGGTTCGGAGTCCGAGCCCCACCCCATAATGGTGCGGCTTAGGTCAACTAACACAAAGAAGATACAGTTCACTCAACGATTGCCTTTGGGTTCCGAACTCCATATGGGGAAGGAGCGTTGTTGTTTCCGAGGTCTCGATCATTTACATGGACCCACTTCTCATTCCATTTGTGGGAATTTGATGATCTATAAACCGCCCCTAACGAATGATCGCCTCATGTTTGAGCATGATGAATCACTTCGTGCCGACCTGTTGCCAATAAACTTTTCGGCCTCATATGAGAATGGAAAACTGGATAATTTTCTGCATCGGTGGATGAAAAATCGCGAACATAATAATTTTTTGTTGATCATGTTCCCAGAAAAAAGATACTTTAGAGAAACAACGAGCACGACTGAAGTGGCTATACATACAAATCCATTAACGGATAGATATGCTTCGATTGGAACTTCCAGTTCCAGAACAGGCGGCTGGTATACCACCATAATGAAACTGCCTTTTCTTTTTTTTATTCGGATAGGATTTATGTTGGCTTCGTCGGGAGGCTCGCGTAGTTTGTTACGTCAACTCCAAAAGGATAAGTTGCGTTGGAATCGAGAAAGTTCTGTGGAATTCAAAATTGCATTAATAAATAAATAAATAAAAGGAGTCTTCAACCCTCTCAATCAATAGAGGCTAGATCGGACTAAGGAGAGAGACGGTTGAGTACGGAAGCGAAAGCGGAGATATAGGCTAAAATGCCCAGTGAGAATACTGACATGGGTAAGGAGAAATCCGAATGACTAGTGGCCATAACTCATTAAGCAATCTTAACCTTTTTCGCTTAGCCTTTCCTCTTTCTACCGTTACGAGATGCAGTATCCTCTAACGTTTTTGCTTGCACGGCTTTCGACCGGGACGGGAAGAGGTTTCCTCGTTGCATCTTTCCACACAGCATTGGTTCTGTCCCTTACCTTACCTTTATCGCCCGTCGGGCGTCAAGGTTCGCATTAGATCCCCTTATCTATCGTATTTTTGCCCCAACAAAAAGGCCAGAGCAAGGGCTGGGGGGAAAGAATGCATTTCCGGAATCTCACTGTTGCCCCACCAAAAGACGAGAACCAAATGCCAATCGCTGATCTGTTAGTAGACAGAGCTTATGGGCAATCAATTATTTCATTCATGGACGGTCACTTAACTTAGGGTATAACCTTTTTTTCATCTCCAAAGAGGACGAGGCAAAAATAGCGTTCCGTTGTCCGGGTGCTGTTGGACGGACTATTCTGCTGGCAGGTGAAGAAGATTCGTTTATAATTTAATGTATTATCAAAGCTAATGTATTGTAATAAAAAATAGCTGGATGAACCTGTTCTAGTGAGTAAGACAAGCTATGGCTAGGTATTTTTCATGAGAAAAAAAGACTTTGCCAAATAGAGAAATAAATTCAGCAGTTTCTGGATCCATCACCCTTTGCTTTGCCAAATAGAGAAAGAATCGATTCTATGCCTGGCCAGAAAGAAGTGAAGTGAGCCTTACAAGAAGCCGAAGGAAAATGAGACTAGCTAAGACTAGGGAAAGAGCGGCTAGCTAACTAGCTGATAGAGATGGCAGAGCTCCTTTTTCACTAAGAGCTGCAAAGGCGAATACCACTACCTTAGCTCCCTCCTTTGCTGATAGAGCGCCATAAATCGGATGCAGGGGGCCTAACCTAATAAGATCGGCAGAGGAGAGATGGTTGATAGCTTAGGTTTAGCAACTAAATTGGGGATGGGGAGCTCCTTTCATAATATTGTATCAGAATGACAAGGCAAAAGATATGGGCTGAGTCTAGCTTGGGACGAGGCTTAGAGAAAGGTAGTTTGCGAGAGAGATGGCCAGGCAGTTCTTAAGATCAGCAACTCGGCGGATAGAGAGCTTGAGCCCAATGCAATGGACTTCTTATTGATGAATATCGCGACCTCTTTGCTAGAGACTGGGAGAGAGATTTTCGACATTGCTAGCTAGAGAGAGGGGAATTTCTGCGTAGATGGACTTGCCAAGCTAGGGCTTCATATCAACTCGGTACAGTCTTCAGAGATCCGCCAGAGTTCATTACTTCTTTACTTCAGATCTAGTAGGTCTTGCCCTCCCACCTAGGCGGTCTAGTCCTTTTTTTTTCAGTTCAGTTAAGGCTGTTTTCTAAGTGATTGATATAGTAAGCTTGCAAGCAAGAAAGGTTCTGCAATAAAATAAGTCCTTTTTTGAATGGAATCATGGCCCTTTCCCTTGCAGATGTGTCCTTTCAAGCCGGATTTTTTATTTACTAGCTTAGCTATCCTAGTATAATATAATATAATATATTATAATATAATAAAGAGAAGGGGTAGACTCTCTTTTATGATATGACATTTCTAAAGAAATTTACCCAGAAAAACTACAGCCAAAACGACTTCCTTTATTTCTAGTTTTCCCCGTCAAGTTGAAGAAGACTCGCCCCCGAGTCGTTAGTGCTTTCTTCACCATAATAAGGAAAAAGATCAGAAACTTTCAATGTTTCTGAAACCTCATACTCAGCTGGTAGTTCAATCTTGTAGGCATTTTCACCCATGCGTTTGAGAACTTTGAATGGTCCATCAGCTCTAGGCTTGAGCTTAGCAAATTGTCCTCGCGGGAAACGCTCCTTTCGAAGATGAACCTACACCAGATCACCTTCTTTGAACTCAGAAAACTTGCGATGCTTGTTAGCTTGAGCTTGATACTTCTCATTTTTTTTTGCTTAGAAATTTTCTCGCTCATGCAACTTCTTAATTTTCTTCACCCGCATCTCCACTAAAGTTGTGAGTAGCTGGAAGTGGAGCTAAGTCCAGAGGACTCTCGGGATTTTGGCCATAAACAGCTTAAAAAGGACTACTTCCACTAGCTTTAGATTAGGAGTCGAGAGAAGTCTTCGAAGAACTGCCGTAATGGCGAAAGACGAATCAGGGAAGGAGGCAAAACGATTCATAATAACTTTGCTTACGCCCTCTTCCCACCAGTACCCATAAGCCCGTTAGGGTTAGATAAGGTGCGAAGCCAAGGCTTCAGGATGGAGAATGAAAACTCTCATTCAGTGCCCTGCAATGCTGGTGGTCACAAGATGTACCATCCCAAGATGTGTACACTCGTGCTGGTAGCCGGCTTCTTACTCCAGATTGAGCGACGAGAAGGAATTAGCCCTCTGCGTCCTTCACAAGATTGGTCTTCGACACCAACCCATCATTGCGTGGGAACCCTATATAGAATATAGAATAGATAGGGCACCTTGGTATGACCGAAGGTGTGAGCTGCATGACTGTCATCCATCCATGACTGGATGCAAACTCACTAAGGACTATCTCCGGTGGATCTTCTAACTTCAGTCTGTGGTCGTAGATCAGGAAGGAAAGGTATATTCAAAGAAACTTAGCTTACCAAGAGTTCCGGAACTAGAGAGATAGGATATGTTCTCCATACGAGGGAAAGTACTTTTCGTCTATCTGATCTCCTTTAGCTGAGTCCCCTATCTCGGTAATGGGTCTCGGTTTTAGCGATATTCATTCATTCCTTCTCTCAGGCTCAAGCTCTGTCTGGTCTTCCTTCCCAATTCCCCACAGGCTTCCGGGAGTGCCGGCTCTGTTCGGACCATAAGACTTGCAACAAGCTTGACTTATACTTATAAAGAAAGAAAGAAAGAAGGTGAGACCTCATGCTTGTAGCTTCTCTTCTTGCTACTCGCTACTAATAAAGAAATGGCGTGATAGAAGATAAAATTCTCCCTGTATCCCCCCCTAAATCAAGATGAGATGGGCGGGTTCAGTCTGATTTTCAAATGCCGTTGACTTCGACCTTTAGCGATTCGCCCCTGAACCTAGAAAAAAAACCTATGATGCCTTCCTCCCTTCGGCTTTCAGAGTTTTGAACTAAGCGGACTTTGCATTGGCAGCTGAGCTTCTTTCTTCCGATCCTCACTCAGGCAATCAAGGAAAGGGTCGTGAGGATCCCAACTCTGAGAGGAAGCCAACATTGACTGACTTTCATGGTTAAGATTCGAAAGAAGAAAGAAGAAGAACCAACAAGATAAGATCGAGCGGTCTCTGCTCCTCTCTAACTAAGAGGAGAAGCGGAACTGTCTATGGACTGCCTTGCTTGATCATCCTATCAGTCATGGTAACGAATTGAGTATCTCTTTCTTCTTCGGTAGCTGGTTTGACTGTTTGTGATCGAACAAAACAAGAGCAAGATATATCGTAGTAAAGTAGAGCTATAGACTGCATGATTGGATTGTAGGAGAAAGAAAAGAAGGATTCGGGACAAGACGGAGATGCAAGCTTGTCTGCTATTGGATGTTCTAGTTTAGCTCGCGGATTGGTCTTCATTGCGCACCATCCGGCTGGTAAGAAGTTGAGATTGTTCCGCTAGTGTTGCTTGGTCAACAATTTGGAGAGTTTGCTTTTCTTTCATATTTATTTATTTATTTATTTATTTATAAGAGCAGTCTGTTTGATCAAATCAGGGATCAGACCGCTCCTGGTGTTCGAACTAGTCATTAATGGTCGGCTTCATTGGTATCCTTTCGGTATGCGTTGCGAACACTTTCATTTTTAGCGTCTCATCTTCTCTAGAGAAGCGAAACTCGAACGGATAGAGCAGATGGTCCAACTACATAACTTTTTATTTTTCATTACTTCTATGGTCGTGCCTCGTGGCACGGCAGCACCCTTACTATTGAAATGGTTCGTCAGTAGAGATGTTCCCACTGGTGCCCCTTTTTCCAATGGGACTATAATTCCTATTCTTATCCCTTCATTCCCTCTTTTGGTCTATCTACATTCCAGGAAATTCATACGCTCCATGGACGGAGCAAAAAGTGGAGTCTTGGTCAGAGCAAGCCGCCCTATTCTATTACCAGACATAATTGGGAGAAGCTCATCCGAAACTAGAGCTGGAAACGCCTCATTTCGTTTCGTTCCCGTTCTTCATTTCCTTCTTCTCGAATCCAAGGGGGACTTCTCATATTTAGAATCTTTCTGCGGTGTGCTCTGTTTACTATTCTTTCGTACTCTCTTCTCTTTACCACGCGATAGGACTTTCTTAAGGAATATTTTGGCCCTGACCCTGCCAACCAAGTCAAAATCAAAAAGAAAGAAGAGAACGAAAGGAGAAAAGAGAACTTCGTATTTTGGTAATTCTCTAAGAGTCATGTTTAACCTTGAATGCTATTAATAAATTCTACAGCAATAGTCCCTCGGACTCGGAAAGTTATAACGAAAATGGCTAACCCAATAGCGGATTCCGCAGCTGCCACCGTTGAAACCAATGAAGCAAATGATTGACCCATCATATCATCCGAAGAAACGGAAAATACCAAAAAGTTCGAATTCACATCTAATAACATTGATTCAATTGGCATTGACATAATAGGAATATTTCGTCTATTAAGGAGGATTCCCCGAATACCTAAAATAGAGATGATCATAGAAAATGTAAAATATTTTATAGGATCCGTTTCGGAAACGTGGAATGTAAGAGAAATTCAAATGTTATAACCAATACGCCGCCTAGTAGGTAAACGTGCGCCGTCGCCTTTATCGTTCTTGCCTTTTCTCCTCTCCATTTCAACAAACCCATTTTGGATTCCCTTATCCTTTTTATATCCTTCCTTATCAATATAAGATTCCCCTTTACTTTAGGACTTCCTTCTTTTTCCTTTTGGGAAAATTCCATAACTATTCCTTCCTTTATGGGACACGCAAAACTTGGAACAATCTATATTATTGCCCTTATCACTATTGAACTCAATTACCAATTCCACGTATTTGAAATCTTGCTCGATGAACCCCCTATTGTAGGTTCGAAACAGCAAGGTTAAAATTACTAATAAAACGAATGCAAAAAGATAAATATTCTCCTTTATCAATGGGATTACATCAAGAAGAGGGCTGGATGGGGAGTCAGAAGCATCACAAGGAGCGGTACTTCCTGTTACTGTTAAGAATAATAAGAAGTAGTGGCTCACGCCTGTTAGTAAGTAGGGGCTCCCCGGATGCCTTTAAGCTTAGGAGGGTCTCCATCGAAAACGCCTGTTGAGACAAGATTAGTTTGCCCTTTTGATAACTCGGGGGTGTTTCACCAAAAGAAGCTTTATAAAGCGTACGAAAGGAATGGATGACTCGATTTTCAGCCTCCTCCACGGCAAGTGGATTATAAGATTTTTGTGGTTGAACCTCGAGATCCTTTCCGCGGTACGGTGGGATCTCTGGGATGAAAAAGGAGGGCTTTTTATCCTTTCGTACTTGGCTTGCCACTTTGTCCCCCTCCTCGATAGAGGGAAAGTCCTCTTCAAGCCCTTGTTCCAGCTTAGAGGGAAAAGCACCGCACTCTAAGGGACGAAGTGAAAAGGAAGAGAAAGAGAAAAAGAGAAGGACTTGTCCTCATGGTCTCCTAAGGGTAAGGGTCTTGGTCTTGCCCTAGGCATAACCAATAGACAAAGAGTTCCAACTATCGAATCAAAGCAAAGAGGAACGGAGCCGCTTTCCCCAGTTGACGAGAGAAAGAAAGGAAATGAGCCCATTGATTCACCTATCTGAAGCTGAAGGAGATTTCTCTTGAGTCCGGATCCCCTGCTTAACCTGAAACCTCTCAACCAGTGGGTTGGTGCCAGACACATCCATCTTATTGTCACCTACATTCCCGTCTTGCTTACCTTCTGCATTGGCTGATGGAGATTGTAATCCCGGATGAATGGAACTTTCGCCGCTTTCCCAACCAGAATAGAATGCAGCTCGATCCGGCTGAAAACCTTGAATCTGATACTAATGCCTTTGTTGGTTGGGCCTTTGCCTTTGATGCCTCACCACTTTCAGATTAAAGTGCTAGTTTTCTTACAATGTCGATCGGGAAAGATAGAGCATCTTTTCCCCGGCCTGGGTAAGAGTAAGAAGTAAGGCCTGTGTCTATGTCTATCCATCTTATAATCCGAATCCAAGCTATACCTCCTAGCCTGTTCTGTCGGTTAAAAGTGCGAAATCCGTGTAATGAGAGAAGGCTCTTTCTTTTCTACTCGTTGTAGAGTATGTCATTACTGGTCTTTCTTTGGCTTTAGCTATTCAGGTAGATTTCCCCCCAAGTTTCTAATTTGCTATTTTACTAGATCGAGATGCTTAGTAACTCGAAAGATAGGACTTTCTCTCTTCTACTTCGTCTAAAGCCTGTGCTGACTGTGTCGCTACTGCAAGGGAGAAATGCTCAGAATCTAGTGACAATATGGGAGTTGTTCCTTTTGCATACCTTCGGGTATAAAGGTAAGATCTCTCACGTGTCACTATGAATATAATATAATATAATAAGGAGCACCTGAAGGTAACCCGATCAGAATCCTAATCCGAAGCTTGTCCGTATGAGTGGTATGGGTAAACCCAAGTCTTACGTTTAGTACTTTTACCAATGTCTGGTGTTTGGAAAACCTTTTCGTAAGCCAATGGAGCGGGGAATAAATTCCTTTATCTTTCCTCTTTCAACGAAAATGCGCACCCTAAGCTCGCGGGTTTCAAAATGATAACTTCCTTCCGCTAGAAAAAACGGAAAGCCAAGGAAAGTGAGGAGGAATCCCCTTTAGAGAGAATTCGAGAATCAAAAGTGGAGGTTAAAAAAAAAGAAAGTGTCTGAGGAAGAGGCTAAGAAGTTCCTGAGTTGCTTCAAACGCAGTGAATATGATATCGTGGAACAACTTGAGAAGATGCCCTCGAAGATTTCCTCTCTCTGCTGCTTGCCTCTGAAAGCCACCTGCCCTGTTGAAAGTGTTTGAATGAAGCTCACGTCCCGTCCCCAAGGATGTCTCTGTAGACAAATTTCAGAACCTCGTGGGATCGATTCTAGCGACAAACTACATCACCTTCACTGATGAGGAAATGACCCCAGATGGAACTGGGCATGTCCGCCCATTATATATCACTGTCAAATGCAAAGACATGATCGTGGCACGGGTTATTATATACAATGGTTCTGCCCTAAACCATTCTGATGCCATATAACAGATCTTCCAGGAATCCCTACCTCCGCGGGGCAGGAATTCATACTACCACACGCTCATTCAATCACTTCTTACCTTCGGGTTAACCTATCATTAGCAAGTAAAGCAGTTAATGGACATATCTCACAGGTAATCGATAGACTGACTAATTCAGTCTAATTGGCCTACCTATAGGTTAGGTCTTAGAGACTCTTCCTAGTGTAAGAGCAGCGTTGATAAGCTAGTTCCGTGCTAGCACTATCAATTGTCGGCGTAACGAGTGTTTTCTAGACTATATATTCGACATGTAATACCCGCTCTCCGTCAGTCGGGAGATTGCCACCAGTTACTCTAGATTTATAACATCTCCGGCATTGGATCACATCCTTAACGATCAAATGTCTTTCATCCGGTCCTTTCCCGGCTTTATTTAAGCTTTCGGTGAAGTTACTCGCTCGCCTCTTTCTTCTGCATTCGAAACTGCAGCTGCAGCATCTTCTGAACCTCGCCCCTCTGGTTTAAGTGGATTCCTTTGCGAAAGGGATAAAGATATTCCCAGGTTGACTGACTTTCTGTTTGAAAACAGGGAACCCTTGGAAGCGAAAGAAGTTATAAAGTTACACTCCTACAGCTTAGCTATTGGTTCAACTAAAGCTATTGGGGCAAAGCCAACTCTTGTCAGTCTAGTAAGTACCATAATCCCTTTCCATATCAATCAGGCGAATTACCTCGTGCCTATCCTTTTCTTTGAGTCTTGCCCACTGCCGGTCCCCTCCTCATAGTCTAAGTCGAAAGCTGGTCCCTTTGCAGCTTAGTCTAGCAATTACTCTCGCTTCACTCCTATCTCAAAGCTCCGTCCCTTGTATCAGAAGCACCCCTATCTGGTTCTTGAATCTCTAGAATCAGACTCTTCCTTATTATCGTACCCTTTGCTCCTCGAAAGATGATTGAAAGCATGCCAAGTAGACCCCTCAATCCTTCATATATATATTTCATCCGAGTTCGAATCGATTACATTCAATCCCAAAAGGAAATATTAGCCACTCATGGTAGTCATTGACATCCTAAGAGAAGAAGAAAAACCCTAAAGCTAAAACTGGAGAAGAACTTTCCCTAATATTGTCAAAAACAGATCCTATTTTTTCATATAAATCACAAAATATATATATTGCGCAAATTCTCGCTTAAGCCAGAATGAGTTTCAAATTGATTGCTCTTTGGACAAATCTCGCTCAAGCGAGATAATTTCCGCTTGGGCGATAATGACTTTCAAATTGGTTGCTCTCTGGACGAATCTTGCTTAGGCGATAACATTCTAGCTTGAGCGAGTTGTGGTAGGATTTCATCTCTTTTTCCTTTGTTTCTTCCTTTCTTCTTTTTCTTTTAAGCCATTTTCTCCTTCTCTCTTAATTTACCTGAAACATATACAAAATGAGGATCAAATGATTTTCTTTTTAATTAAAACTCGGAAACATATGATTATATTTCATCATTCTTAAAGTAGGGGAAATTGATACCAACTATACATAAGTTGAAATAACAGTGACATCATTCCATATAAAAATTTACTACTTTTTGGCACTTATCACATTGTCAAGCAAGCAGATCCCCAGCTATATCTCTTGATTAGTCTAAGGTTAGTTAAAAAAGAAAGAAACATTAAACGTACTTTTTTGCTTGTTTTATCAGGCTTTTTTACACCGCCAATTAATCCTAAGATATATGCCCTGCAATGGGCGTGAACTTCTTCTTCGGATGGCTGGTCACCTAGCGGTAGGATGTTCTCCCTTAACCACTTCAATTTGGTCATTGAGCCAACGAGTGACTCATCTTTTACTGGAGTGATGCCAAGATATGTTTCGCACATCTCCTCCTAATCAAACATTGTTGGGCCAATAAGTGGTAATCCATCCACTCTTAGGCTCAGCTGATATGCAACATCTTCCAAGGTGATGATGCATTCTCTTGTTGGAAAGTGAAAGGTGTGAGTCTCAGGTCTCCACCGTTCTACTAATGTTGTGACCAAATTTTGATCCACCTTCAAGTGTCTTAACTTAGACACTCCAGCAAAGCCAAGTTGTTCCAATAAAGGAACAATTAACGCATGCGGTTTTGTCATTGAGTAACAATATGATGAAATCATATTTTTCATTTCCTGTACATTACCATAAAATTTGTAAAAAAACAGGCAATGTATGAAATGATGTATATAAAACAAGGAAATGTATTGAAAACTTACATTGATTCCAATGAAGGCAACTCTATGTTCAACTTACTTCCACAACAACATTTTGTGAGAGAGAAGTGTAAGTGCTCAGGTAAGAGGAAGAAGAAATGTTGAGAGAAAACTCAATTAATAAAATTTCTTCTTTACTTGATTAATTTAGAGTAATTATTTTTTATTTATACAAATAAAATTATAAAGTATTATATATATAAACATATAAATAAATTACTTTAAATATACATTAAATAATTACAAATAAAAAATATATATCAAATTAAAATTAAAAAAATAACTATTTATAAATTATATATATTATATAAATTATAATTATAAAGTTAAAAAAATTATATTTAGAATTATAACCTTAAAAAAATTATAATTATAAAATTAATAAAAATATATTTATTTTTAATGTTAAATAAATTATATATATTATATAAATTTTATATATATATATATATATATATATATATTACATAAATTAAAATAATAATTATAAACTTAAAAATAAATTATATTTAGAATTATAAAAAAGATCTATTTATAAAATTAATAAAACAAAAACTAAAAAAATATATTATAAAAACCAGTTTAGAATTCAGTTCCCCACGATCGAATTCTGATTGGAAAAATATAAAAAAAATTAGAAATAATAGTTCAGAATTCGGTTCCCCAAAAACCAAATTTTAAACGTCAACAGTGAATGGTGTTAGATGGATAAATAATGTTATAGAGATGTTGTTTTAGGAAATATTTTTTAAAATGATACTATTTATGAAAAAAAGTCATAATATTATCTATTTTTATGTATTTTGTTCCCAACTATTCAAAATGTTGAAATTTTTATTTTTTATCATATTAAAAAATGACTTAAAACGTCGATAAATATACATGTTAAATAAAATAATTATTTTGCCAAAACCCTTGTCACTCAAAATCTATAATTTAAATACATTAGAAGATGAAAATTAACTTTAAGTACAGATGAGGGTGATAATAATTGAACTATGACTAAGGAAGTATTTTCCTAACCATCACTTATAATAATAAGTGAATTTTATTTAATTGAGGAAGAGTTTTTTCCCCTTTTCGTATAGAATAGTTACAGAACAAATTATCTGAAAATGCCAATGATCCCGCATAGAACTAATGTTTTTGTTTAATTGTAACTTTGTTTCAATATTTCATAAAATTTGTAATTCTTTAATTTTTAAAATTATTACATTTTGTTTATTTTTTTATCTAATTATATATGTTACCAAATATATTTGTCAACCATTTAACATATTTTAAAATTTAAAATTATGGATGATTGAAAATTGAGATATCAAAATTATTTATAAATAATTTTAAAAACTAAAATATTATAATAAAAATTAATATATTAAAAATAAAATAAACTTAAAACTTAAATAACATATTTTATATAATATAATGACGAAAATTACAAGACTAAAATACATTTTTTTGTTGTCATATGTAGTTTTAGGAGGGAAGATTAGATCATAACATAAGATAACCAGATGGCGGATCTTCTTGGAAGTTGAGGGCAGTGACCCCCAAAGTTTTGTAACTCCCATGTAATTAATGATTTTGGCCCCCAAACATAATTAGTATTTAATATATTTACTTGTATATTTACAATTTTATCCTTCCAGCCTCTCCTCAGTTTTGTAACTTTCATATAATTTATGATTTTATTTCTCTCAAACTTAATGATAATTTAATATATTTAAGTATATATCTACAATTTTATCTTTTAAACCTTTCATATTCTTTCTTCCTTTTATATTTATTTATTATTTATTAATAATATATTATTTAGCTCCAAAGATCAATGGTCAAGATCCGCTATCTGAAGATAACGATATATTGTATCATATAAAATTAGAATAAATGGTGAAATAGTTATTCTAGGTAAGTCTATTTACTGTTGACTAGGATAATTTTAATGGATTAAATAAGTTTGGTTCCTGAAAAAGGTAAATAAATGAAGGTGAAAAACAAAGAGAAAAGAAAAAGAAAAAAAAATGCGCGTGCGTTGCACGGGGTTATGAAATACTCATGATACGAGATTTAGGTGAGTGAAGGGTAGAGTGGTCTATGCATATTACACAATTTGGACATTTTCTTTTCCCGAACGCAACTACCAAAGTGAAACCTTGTTGTTGAGTCGAACCGTGTCGTGGGGGGACATCACATTCATTTTCATTGATTGGTACCAGTCCAACACCATTTTTCATGTGCCAACCGCGAGATCGCCATTACTACAACACAGACTAGCAAACACGAGGAAGAAGTGGGTGCGTTCCCTGCTTTACCATGCTTCTTCCCTGAGACCAAAGTTAAAGTGTAAAACCCCCTGATACCAAAGCCCAGATTTTCGTTCCCCCCAAGTGGGAAAAACAGAAAAAAGAAAGAAAGAAAAACATGTCGGATGCTTTGATCAATGGACTGGCCGGAGCTGGAGGAGGGATCATTGCTCAGCTCATCACATACCCACTTTCAACTGTACGACTACGGTTTCAAACTTTCTTTTTCTTTTTTTACCTGAAAAAAATTCAACTGGGTCGTCCTATAAGGTGTCCAAGATTTAATTTTTCCGGCGTAATCTATAGGTTAACACTCGTCAACAAACCGAGCGTGATCCGAAGAGAGACACGAGGAGTCAAGGCGCCCTCGAACGAATGTGCCAGGTTAGCGAGGATCACATGATTGCTTAGCTGAGTTTAATTGCGTTGTTGGTTTGATGTGGTATGTAAAGAGAGAAAATGATTGCGATCTTGTTCATGAATAGGTTGTAAAAGAAGAAGGGTGGGAACGGTTGTATGGAGGTTTGATGCCATCTCTGGTGGGTACAGCTGCGTCTCAGGTGAGCTCATTTTGCACGTGTTTGGTAATAATGCTATTTTTTTGTTTTAGTGTAGTTTAGGACTTGATTGCTGAATCAGTGAGGAAACTAAAATGTGTGAATAATTTGATTTGAGTGAATTTATTTCGAGGATGTTATAGTCAACACATGTGTTTACCCTCAAGATGACAGCAAGATTAACAAGGTTTTGAAAAACGATGGCTGCAACTTTGAGGTTTTTGAGCTCTTTTCGACCATATTGAGTCTGCATTTGCTGCAATGTCAAAGATCATGATCAAAACTGTGACTATGACCAAAATTTGAAATCTCGACGATTAATGTCAAAAAGGAAAATTGAAAGCAGTTTAATTGGTTTCTCTATTAACTGTTTTTCTGGATGAAATATAACAGAATTTTGACGATGAGGAATTTGTGTTTGAAACTTTGATGTAATCATGTCATGGAAAGCGAGCTGGGAAGTCAGCCATAGATTCAGAGGATTAATACTTATGTAGTTCTTATTCTCCTGGCTTTCTCCTTATAGTGTTGTCAAACACTCACTTTAATTGATTGGACGTTTGATAGTATAGGCTAGTAAAGACTAGTTACTTCTTCATCGATCAACTATCTCGTATAATTATTGACTAATAGAATTCATGCCCATTTGTTTCAGATGGTAACATTGATTTTGATGTAAATAATTTTAATATGTGATTGAGACGTGTGTTCAAATTAATCTCAGCCACAAATTCTACATTTAAACATATGCCATTGCATGGGAAATTGATTATTGTTGTAAACCAAAATCCCCTTGTTTGATGTTGATGGTCTGTAGTGTAGCTTGTTATCTTTAAAAAAGGATGAAAGTTTTCCAACTATCCTTGGCTCCTGCATGATATACTCTCTGGTAACCTGCTTGTTCAATGTTCTGCCTTAGGGTCTGTTCAATGTTTTAATATCTCACAATTTTATTGTACAGGGTGTTTACTATTATTTCTATCAAATATTCAGGAACAAGGCTGAAGCAGCTGCTTTACAACAAAAGAAAATGGGTCTCGGTGATGGATCAGTTGGGATGCTTTCCTCACTTCTTACTGCTGCTTTATCTGGGTAGTTTACTTTGTGTTAGTTTACAAATCCATTTGGTTCTAGTTTGTTATTGCCCAGCAAAAGTAAGTTCTTAAATAGAAGTTTTTCTTACAGCAACGGCAGTTAATTTGCCATATTAACATCATTCTGAGGTTGTGAAGGCTCTATTTCAATATTTCTCAAATTTGACTTTGTAAAAGAACTGCTGAATTAACCTTCCTATAATAAAAGCATAAATTGTTACATGCGGATTATGTTGGTAGAAACTAATTATTATGTTTTGTCTCACTTTCTTAGTCCTGGTGTATAGTGGTATGACTCTAAGTGCTTGATAAATCCTTTTGTAGGTGTGTAAACGTGCTCTTGACAAATCCCATTTGGGTAGTTGTTACCCGTATGCAGGTAATTTTCTTCTTGTTATTCATCTATTGTTCTATCTTTCTTTCTGCTTTCCTTCCTCTCGCAGCTTATCCTAAACTTTGTTTGTCTTGTTTCTTGGTCTACAGTAAACATTATAATGAAATAGTTAATACAAATTAACTTCTGGGAGAGCTTCCTTTTCTCCTAATCTGTTTTTTGTCTCTGATCATTTAGAATATAAAGAAATCATGAACATTATTATTGAACATTTTATTTCCTTTCTTATAAGCTAAAACGTTTTCGTAAGTGTTTCATCTTCGTAAGCAAACTTGGAAGAGAAGTGATGATAGCTTTGAATGCTTGTCTGGACATCACTAAGTTTAGAGCTTTCATGGATTTAGGAACTGTTTGGGAACCATGTATAAGACACAAAAACTTATGTTGTTGGTTTAAGTTGTTTGAGTAGATAATATGTAATACATGGTCTGTCATTGATTTTGTTTTACTATTTGTACCTCTCGAAGTAATCAAAATTGTGTTCTCTTGTAATTTAGAATAATAAATGATAACAAAATCTGTCTCTCCTTTGCTTTCCTCCTGCCCAACTTCAGCTAGTAAGTCTTGGATTCTGATTTTGCTATTTTATGTCAAAAAAATTATTTTACCTTGCAGGCACATAGACAAGAGTCAAACCATGCACCTGATCAGAGTTTGTTCGTTGCCACTGAGCAAGCAATTATTTCTGCTGTTGAACCTCATCCTTATGAAACTAGCCATGTGGTAAGTAAAGTGTACATTGGAATCTTTAGTAATTGAGAGAAGTTATGCAAGCTTGGCTATTCTGATGTGATAAAATATTTGGAAAACTCATCTTACATCTTCTGTGTTTTTATATTCCAGTTAGATTAGATTGTCTGAAAATATTTCAACAAATTGATTGGTGATTTATGATTGTCATGGTTTTCCCCTTTCTATAATATGCAGAGTTTTACTAGTCCTGATAATGCTTGGGGGGGACTCCCGATGATGCTTTATACTTTTCAAACCCTCTTGTTTCCTTTTATATGTGTAATACTTCAATACAATTTTGCAGATTCGAGAAATCTTTGATGAAGCTGGTATTTGGGGTTTCTGGAAAGGTGTATTACCAACACTGATCATGGTATGTTGGAAGTGAATCTCTTTCATGCTTAGGGAGTATTACTAATCTGTTGTTCTTTAACTCAGGTAAGCAATCCTGCCATACAGTTCATGCTGTATGAAGCCATGCTGGAAAAGTTAAGAAAAAGACGTAATAGCAACAGGGTAACTGCTTTAGAGGTATTATGTCATTTCACCAATCTACATAACATCTCTTTTCAGTGATGTCCTTTCCATATACTTTCTCTTACATTGCCTTCAATTGTTACTACATTTTTATTGATATTTCCTTATGACGCTAGATATTTCTTCTCGGAGCTTTAGCTAAGCTTGGAGCTACTGTTGTAACTTATCCGCTCCTAGTTGTAAAGGTATATCGTACTAGTTTTCTCTCCTGGTTCTGAAGGTATATCACACCTTGTGTTCAGTTATAAGTTGAAATGAACTAAACTTACGTTCAACGTGTATGACAAATATTTGCTTCACCATTCGATACGTGAATGTGTGAAATTTAGTTTGTATTATTGTTACGAATGGATATCTAAACTTCAATTTATTAGGGACAAAAAACAATTTGACTAATTTATTAGGGACCAAAAATATGTTTAATTAATGACATTACATTTAAGTAATTATAAAGTGTGATTATGCATGGGTATGCACACCTTACTATCCAATGAATATCCATTTCAATCAATAGGAGGTTTTATCTGCATGGTTTTGCTGTTACAGTTTTTTTTTTTTTTTTTTTTTACATTTCTATACATATATAGCGGTGATGAACTTCAGATGATTTAATATGTTTTGTATTGTAATAATCTGTCACGTATTTTTAAATTTAATCAGATAGCTTGTTTAAATTATGGTAGATGATTTGTTATAAATTATAACATGCTAAATGCCTTATTTTTAAAATTGTGTTGGCATGTTGTTGATCTCGCACATTGATGTCCACTATTCACTAGATGTGGTGAATGGAGAGGACTAAGAATATTATCTGTGTGGAAAATGCCTTTCTCAATTTCTTTTGATATGTTGTTCGCACAGGCAAGGCTCCAGGCTAGACAGGATAAAACAGGAGACAGGAGGCACCATTACAAAGGTTTAAGTTCTGATGATATTTTGTTTTACCTTGTTTACCGAGAGAGGTTATGACTTCTGAGCATTTCATTGGTTAAGTTTGTACATTATATTCAAATTTCCTTGTTCAATTTGTCTTAGATGCAAACGCACACAGGCACAAACATCCATTCTGTTCTGACACAAGTTAATTGAAAACTAAGTTTGCACTTTCAGAAATTTTATTCTATTCTTCCTTTCCTCTCTAATGTTGCATAATTTTCTTTAAATTCAGGTACTTGGGATGCCATTATTAAAATGATCCGATATGAAGGGTTGAATGGTTTTTACAAAGGTATGGGCACAAAAATTGTACAAAGTGTGCTTGCAGCTGCTGTTATATTCACGATAAAAGAAGAACTAGTTAGGGGGGTTCAGTTCTTGCTTGCCAAGGATGCTGCCAACACTGTAAAGCTAAAGCATTCGTGATCGATTGGAGGCCACTAGCTTGATCAAGATTTCATGTACCATCTACAGTTAGCAAATTAGTTCAAATGGTAGTAGGGGAACAACAGTGATTCAAACAGTATATCAAAATATGGCTGTAACTGCATCTTGATTACTTTTCTTATAGGAAATTCATGCCATAATTGCACACTGGATTCATTGGTTCATTTCATGAACAAAACAGGGTTGTAGGTTTGAAGTTTGCTGCTGGAACAAATATTCATTTTACTAATTAGTATCACCATTTGATGATTTCATTGATAGCTGAGTTATAGATCAAAAATCCATTCATCTGGAACCAAATATTACTCACTTCAACCATTATGAGACAAGTCGTTGGCATTTGGCAATTTGTTATCATCATGCCAGATGAATAATTACCAAGATCGTACCAACAAGCAGCCAATTGACAAAATTTAATATTAATAATGTATGATATTCTTTTCATTTGTGGGATAAAATTATAAATAAATATTTAAATATATTAAATAATTATTAAATTTGAGGGGGGCAAAATTATAAATTATATGAGAGTTATAAAATTAAAGAGAAGATTGAAAGAATAAAATTGTAAATATACAAGTAAATATAGTAAATATTTATTAAATTTGAGAGAACTAAAATTATAAATTACAAGGAAGTTATAAAATGGTGGAGGATATGGTCCTTGGAAGGATGTTGAATCAATCATAGTCATACAATACTTGGGATCATTTAAACATATTTGTTTTAACTCAACCTGTTAGGATCAGAGTACCAGCACAAATACACACAACTAAAATAGAGACTAGAAAAATAACACTGACAATAGACAAAAATTGAAATTTTATAATGACTACCTTTTCCTTTACAATTGGAAATTACCAATACTCGGAAAGTAAAAGAGAAAGAAGGAGAAATTTTTGGGATGTTGAAATAAGGAGGGAGGGGCTCCTTTTATAAGAAGGAGGAGAGCCCCCCAATTGAAGTTCCCACCAATGTGGGACTTCTTTTTTCACAATCTCCCACTTGAAGATTTTGATGAAATTAATCAAATCTTCACACTATGTCTTCTTATCTCACATCCATGTTGCTTATGCTTTCGATAGGCCATAGAGGGATCGACTCCGTATAAACTTGTCAGCATTAACCAGCTTTGTCATTACATCTGCTAGGTTCTTCTCAGTGTGGATCTTCTGTAAATCTACACTTTCTTCTTCTACTACTTCTCGAACAAAATGATATCTTATTCCTATGTGTTTTGTCCTCGAATGAAAGGCTGGATTCCTTGCAATGTGTAAGGCACTTTGACTATCACAGTACACAACAATTTGTTGTTGCTTGTGACCAAGTTCCCCCATTATTCTTTTAATCCGGATAGCTTCTTTACATGCTTGGGTGACAGCCATGTATTCAGCTTCCGTAGTAGACAGAGCTACCACATCTTGTAACTTGGATAACCAACTTCATCGTCCCTCCATTGATGGTAAACACATAACCAATAGTAGACTTCCTTTTATCCAGATCACCTGCAAAATCCGAATCAACATAGCCTCTAACAACTGCTTCTGATCCTCCATAACATAATGCAACATTTGAGGTTCCTTTTATATACCTAAGGATCCTCTTCACATTTTGCCAATGCTCTCCACCAGGATTCCCCATGAATCTACTAACCACTCCCACTGCTTGTGCAATGTCCGGTCTTGTACAAATCATGGCATACATAAGACTTCCCACTGCTGATGCATACGGTACTCGAGACATTTCAATCCTCTCCGCTTCACTGCTAGGACTCATACTTGAGGATAACTTACAGTTGACAGGAAGTGGGGTAGAAATTGGCTTGCAATCTTGCATGTTGAAGCGCCGCAAGATCTTAAGTAAATAATTCTTTTGAGAAAGCCAAATCTTCCTATCTTTTCTGTCTCGGTGAATTTGCATCCCTAAAATCTTGTTTGTTGGTCTCAAGTCCTTCATATCAAACTCCCTAGCCAATTGTGCCTTCAATTCTTGGATTTGAGCTTTGTTAGGGCCTACCACCAACATGTCATCCACATACAACAGCAATATGATGAAATCATTTTCTTCAAACCTATTGTGGTAAGTACAATGGTCCGAACTTAGTCTGTAGTATCCGAGGCTAATAATGAAGGAATCAAATCTCTTATACCAACACCTTGGCGCCTGCTTTAGACCGTATAGAGATTTGTTCAACCTGCAAACCAAGTTTTCTTGCTCTTTGAAGCCTTCTGGTTGGAGCATATATATTTCCTCTTCAAGTTCTCCATGAAGAAAAGCAGTTTTTACATCCAATTGCTCAAGATGTAAATCAAATGCAGCACACATCGCCAGGACAATTCTGATTGTTGTCAATCTAACAACTGGTGAGAATATCTCGTTGAAATCAATGCCTTCTTTCTGAGCATATCCTTTTACCACCAGTCTAGCACGATATCTTTCCACTTGATCATTGGCATCTCTCTTGATCTTATAGACCCATTTGCAACCAATGGCTCTGCGACCTTTTGGAAGTTCCACAAGATGCCATGTCTTGTTTTTATAAAGAGCTTCAATTTCTTCTTCCATAGCAGCCATCCATAGAGGAGCTTCTGAACCACTCACGGCCTCTTGAAAAGTTGAAGGTTCTCCTTCTTCACTTAGGAGACAATACGCATCATGACTTGCCATCACATATTGTGAATGCCAAGATGGTCCGACTCTTTCTCTTGTTGATCGTCGGAGTTCTCCTTCTTCCACCTCATTTGGCTCATGTTCTTCATGCTCCTCCTCTCGACTCGGAGGAATGTTCCGAAGTCTTCTTCTCTATCTCGTACTATAGTCTTGTCCTTTTTCGAGTCGTCATTTATCCGCTTGCTTTGCAGTTCATTTTCTCGCAAAGACGACATCTCTGCTAACAATAACTTTGTGGGCAGTGGGATCCCACAAGCGACACCCCTTCACATTGTCAGCATATCCCAAGAAGATGCATTTCCCGGATTTTGGATCCAACTTCGTCCTTTCTTGGGTGTTGTACATCACGTACGCAGGACAACCGAACACATGTAAGGAAGAATAATCGGTTGATTTTCCACTCCACATTTCCATAGGAGTTTTCAACCCAATTGCTGTTGATGGAGACCGATTTATCAAGTAACAGGCAGTATTCACGGCTTCCGCCCAAAAAGACTTTGTTATGCCTGCAGCTTGCAAGCATAGCTCCAGTTCTCTCTAGAAGAGTTCTATTCATCCGCTCTGCTACACCATTCTCGCTGAGGCGTGTGTGGAACGGAAAATTGTCTCACAATTCCTTCTTGCTTGCGGAATGCTAGAAAATCTCCATCTACATATTCTCCTCCATTGTCTGTCCTCAAACACTTGATTCTCCTTCCGGTCTCAAGTTCTACTTGTGCTTTGAAGTCTTTGAACCGCGCAAATACTTCAGACTTCTTCTTGATAGGGTATACCCATAATCTCCTCGAGTAGTCATCGATGAACGACACAAAATATTTTGCTCCTCCGAGAGATAATTCCGGCGATTCTCAGACATCAGAATGGATCAAGTCCAAAGTTTGCTTACTCCTTGTGGTGGTTCTTGCAAACTTCAACCTGTGTTGTTTGCTTGTCACACAATGCTCACAGAAGGGTAAATCGACCTTCTTGAGCCCAGGTATGAGATCACGTTTCGCAAGAATCTGCAGACCTCGCTCTGACATATGTCCAAGTCTACGGTGCCACGTTACCGCCGCTTCTTCTTGGCTTGTTGACGCAGTTGTTGCATGATTTTCTTGCAAGGTGTCTCCCATAAGCACATACAAGTTTGCCATGATTTTCTTTGCTTTCATGACAACTATGTTTCCCCTCACTGCCTTTAAGATTCCTCCTTCAACATGGATCTTGCAGCCGAGGTCATCCAATTGCCCTATAGACAATATATTTTTTCTTCAAGTCATTCACATGTCGTACTTCTTGGATTGTAGGAATAGTACCGTCATACATTTTTAATTTGACAGTACCAACTCCAACAATCTCTAATGCATGGTCATTTCCCATGAACACGGATCCACCTGAGATAGGCTCCTAGGTTTGAAACCAATCTCGGTGTGGGGTCATGTGCCAAGTTGCACCTGAATCCATTATCCACTTGTCATGAAATTCGTTTCCGCCATTAGAGCTGATTGCTGCTTCGCTTACCAGAATTACTCTTTCCTCTGAAGTACTCGCAACGCAACCCTATGAGGTTGATTCTTCATTCTTCCTCTTCCAACACTCTTTCTTCGTGTGCCCTTTCTTGCCACAGTAGTAGCATTTAAATTTGAAAGTCTTCTTGTTTCGAGAGCTCGATCTGCCATGATCTTGACTCCCACTTGAGCCATGTTCCGTTGATCTTCCTCTCATCATCGTCAAAACTTCTGCTTGTTTAGAACTTTCTACCTTATTCATTCGCTTGGATTCTTCTTCTAGAATAGTTCCGGCAACATCGTCAAAGTGTAGTTGTCCTTCAATATTATTATTTGTAATGTTGATGATGAGTTGATCATACGAGTCTGGCAAGCTCTGAAGTAAAAACTCTGCACGCTCATTCTCAATTATGTTGAAATTTGCTGCTGCTAATTGGGCAAACAAGGTGTTCAGTTGGTTGATGTGGTCCGTCACCGATGTGGACTCACTCATCCGAAGAGTATAGAGTTTCCTCTTCAGGAATATCCTTGTGTGAAGTGACTTCACCTCATATAATTTAATGAGGGCATCCCAAATCTCCTTTGCAGAATCTTTCTCCACAACACTGGATAGAACTGAGTCTGTCATTGCCAAGTGTAAATTTGCAATAGCGTTGCTGTCAATTTTCTTTCAATCTTTATCCGTCATTTCTGCAGGTTTTCCCTCAATTGCTTCTGCGCAATTGTCCTTTCTCAAGATTGCCTTCATCTTCAATTTCCACAATGAGAAATTGTTCCCGTTGAACTTCTCTATCTCGTACTTTGCTGCCATGGTTGTATACA